TGCTCCCTTTATAGAAAACTACTCGCGAGTTATTTGGGTTCCTTTATGCTCTTGAGGCATTCAGCGCTTTCATATATAGCGAAAAAGTTCAGATTCAGACAGACAGCCAAACGGCGCAAGCAGTTTTCTATAAAGGGAGCACAAAAAGAGATCTCCAAGAAATTGCAACCCAGATTTGGGAAACCACAGAGCGGCTCAGTATACACTTAGAAGTGTTTTGGATACCCAGAGAGCTCAACCAGGAGGCAGACAAAGCGTCCAGGGTCGTAGATGAGCTGGTCCGTTTTAGACTCCATATACGGAAAAACTTTACGAGATCTGGGGCCCGTTTGAGGCTGACTTGTTTGCTAGTGCGGAGAACAAGAAATGTGAAACGTTTGTTTCCAGATGGTTCAGCGAAGGTTGCGCAGCCGTCGACGCGTTTAGCGATTCCGCAGAGAAATTCTGGTCCCGGTGTTCTTGCTGGTGGGTTCCTCCTCCATATTTACTTCCTCTTACAGTGCTGACTGCCAGAAGGTTACGAAGTAGGGGAGTTACTGGCCCTGAGCCCTTCTTATAAAGGAAAACTCTCCTTCCTTCACTTTTTCTTCGCCCTCGGTCAGCTTTGACTTCACTTTCGCTAGGGTGGACTTTGGGGAACGTTTGTAACCCTCCAGCTTTAAATTTCCGACGAGTTAGCCAAGCAAAATATAGTTTTTGACGAGGGTAGGAGTCAAAAGCGTTGTTTTGCGAGGCTAACGAGTGTGCCCTAGAGTCACACGAGGGGCGTGTCAGGTCACGCTTGTCCCGGCAATGCGTGACCCGATATGGGCCATTCCGGTCTATTCCTGGTAACTGTGTGCCCTCCCGCCCGTCCTGGTATAGCTGTTGAATATGGGTCAGCGCTACTTGTGGGGCCCCCTTAACACAAGATCTGTTCAGGTCCAAAATGGAAAGCCTGGTCGGAGACGATTCAATCTGCCAGAAACGCAGGGGGAGGAGTTGGCCCAAATAATAGGCACTTCGGCAAACAAATCTCTAGCGCCAGGAACAATTGCAGCCTACTCCTCTATGAGGAGACGTTTCGACGAGTTCACTACCACACTCGCCATTGAAAAGACGCACTTAGGAAAACTTCGGAACCTTTTCTTGGCCCATCTTATCAACCAGAACCAGCTCAAAATTCTCTCCACAGCGGTCGCCTCTCTGAATTTCTTCTATGGCCACTTGGAAGACGGAGAAGCGGAATTGCAGAAGCTTCTGATGGATTCGGCTAAGAAGGAGGCCCCCGCTGTGATGCACAAGGAGAAGGCCTCCGAAGAGGACGTCGATAAGATGGTCGAGTGGGCCCTGAACATGAATACAGCCAAAGCAACAGAAGACTGTTGCATTATTTTGCTTTCGTACTTAGCCTTCCTGCGGATAAGCGAAACGGCGGCGGTTCGTAAGGAGCACCTGCAGGCAAAAGGCGGCGATATTTGGTGGCTGCTCATTCCAAAATCCAAAACAGACCAGAGCAAAAGAGGTACGGAAGTGGCTTTCAAAGTGCAAGGAAGACGCGCAGTTCTTTGGAACAAGTTCGTCGCGCTGATAGCCGACAAATCCCCCCACCAATTCATTTTTTCACCAAAGTTTGCACATCAACCGTCCACCGATTCTCTCCGAAAACGTATAGACAATGTCCTCCAAGGAGCGGGGTTGCTTCATAAGGGCTTTACATCGCATTCCTTCCGAGGAGGTGCAGCAACAGCCGCTCTGAGAAGAGGAGTTAGCTGTGAGGACATAAGAAGAGTGGGACGTTGGAAGGCTTCGACCTCTATGCTGCACTACCTAGACCCAACACCCATATGATACTCAGAAATGCTTCTAGGACTAAAGTCAATTGTTGCTGCCTACCAATCACTAGGCTTATTTTACTCTGCATAATCTATATTGCTAGACGCATTAAAATAATTATGAGTTTTCAGTTCTCTCTGATATGTACAGGTACAGGTACACACGAACAAGGACGGACAAGTAAACAAGATGCTCTACCATTGTAACATTTGTTGAAAATGTCGTAAATGTAAATGTGCTAAATTCTAATCTACTTCTATGTTCCGTCCATTTCAGTATATATTGATGTACATATATGTATTTTGCAAACGACTTAAGGATTATTGATGATGGCATAATAACCAGGAATAAAGCCGTTCTCCCCGACGAGTTAGCCAAGCAAAATATAGTTTTTGACGAGGGTAGGAGTCAAAATTATAATCTTGTGGAAAAATCAAGCTAAACAACAGTACTGAACGCATTAACGCTATACATGAATCTGGCTTCGGGACAAAACAGTACCTGTAATCAACTAGCAATGACTGAGAAAAACTGTATCTTATCGCAGGATAGAGGCAATAGGCGAAAGCATTCATAGAGGCGCGATTTGTTTCTAAATTTATTTCATTTTAATGTTGTCCACTATCACCTGGTACTTCATCGTTTTTCCATTTATGACGTTCATCTTGATAGGGTCTCAATTGATTTCGTATACCTGGAAAGCGTTACTTCTATAAATGAGATGTAAAAATAGCATTTGTCAATATTTAAAGACCAATTGTTCACTCTCCTCCGTGGATCTAGGTCCTTACAGTGTGCGCGGAGAAGGGGTCCGCAGCGGCAGTGGCACTGTTTCCAGTGCATGGGAATGAGGATGGAAGGTAGTCATACCCGAGAGCACTCTCCAGCTCCACTCTCCAGCTCCGCCCACGCGCCATACGGCCAAACATGCGCCTAGTCAGCCATAACCAAGCGCGCTAGTTGCCTGCGCTCTCTCACTTTTAGTTGTTCTCTTCCGCTGAGTGTACGTTTCATTGAGATTTCGGTATCGACTTAAGGGCTGCACCTTGAGGATAGCCCGGGTGGAGCAAAGAGACTGCATTTGCGTATCGCAACCCTACAGCCCGCAATTTTGAGCGGGAAACTGACACGCTACTGCTGCTGCGGACCCCATTTGCCTCGCACATGACCAGGATCGTCCTCGGAGGTGAGTGCAAAGTTTGTCTTCAGTTCCGGGCTTGCTAGCCGTAGACACATTGATCAAGTTCCGGGCTTGTCAGACGTGGACACACTGGTCAAGGATTTAAGAAAAAAAGTCAAAATACGTGTTGTAATCATTAAGATAAACTGATTAGTTGTGATCTCGAAGCTTTTAGAGTAAGAGCGCACCTCCTAGAACTTGGTAACCGATTTGAGTGCCGGCGACAAACGGCCCAATGATGGCTTTCGGTGCCACTTTCAAAGCAAGTTCCAAATCATCACGAGCTTGTCGATAACCCTTAACAAATCATATCGCGAATAAAGTGCTGCAATTAAAACATTTTATGGAATGCTCAAGGTTCACTGAGTACCATTCGGTGCTCCCACCACGCCAACCAGTACCGGAACAATTTCGAAGTTTAGTAGATCAAAGCGAGTGGGACAGTGATCCCGCTGCAAGAGTTGTGATTTCGGGGACTCCAATTTTAATGACAAGGAGGGGCACGTCACGAAATTGAAGAGAAAAAACACTAACCCCTCCCCTCCTGACATGCCCCATATAGCACAGCATGCTAAAATGCGCTTGCAGGTTCACAGGGCGAAGAGTGCGAAGTCGGGCGAGTTCTCACTTTTTGCTGCCAGCCCTTTCTCCTTGTCACAAATCACCATTCGGAATGAGAGGGTTAGTAGTGGAACAACCCCAACATCAGTAACAGTTAGAAAAGAAATTGGGCGGCGCTATGGTCAGAGGGCGGAGCCGTATCACAAGCGGGCTGAGCTTTCCTCACATTTTTTTAATCTGCGAACGTTATACATCCTCCATGAATACAGGTAAAACTACTATGTCCAAAGAAGGCACCTGATCATCAGATGAACGCGGGGGTTGCCTTTAATGAGTGATGCGAAACACCGAAAAATTCAAGTCCCTAGGAGAGACAAAAAGGAAAGTATTTAGTGTGATAGAGAAAATAGAGAGTCAGCAGTTTTCAAATTTGGACAGCCTACTATTCTAGTTTTCGAAATTGGCATATTAGTATAAAAAAACATACATCTGAAGCTATGTCACAAGCAAGCTGCAATCCATGGCGGAGATCTGTTGGAGCTGCTGCTTTAGCTGTTGCAGCTCGACGATTTCGCTCAATTTAAGTAAGGAGCAGATGGTTGGACTTCGTGTAGAAACTGACTCAGCGAGCATCTTCAATAAGATCAGCCAAATATTTAGAATACGTAGGGTTTATCGCGGAAAGAAAATAACAAAAATGATAAATATTGCACAAAAAAGATCACCTGTATGACACCCACAACAGTTTGAGCCATTCCGACAACACCAGCCGCCGATGACAATCCGAACGAGCCAACACCTTTCTGAATTCCTTTCACGACATGCCCGTCTTCTTTACGCAATTCCACAACAGGAAGCCAGAATAGGTCGACCACACCTTTACCTGTACAAATGTAGATTATGGGCTGAGGCTTTAATTCTTGAAGCTCTGTATGATACTAATTACTGGATAATTATTTGCAACTATAAAAGAACGAACCGATTTGTACGAACGGGCTAATGGGACCACAACTGGCTAAAACATTCGGCAGATTGGACTTGATGTCTGCCATCCACTCGTCTATAGCAACCTGAAATAGCGGTAAGAAGAGAGAGGTGGGGGAGGGGAGGAAGAAGAGACACTTCTCTCATGGTGCTTGCTGTCGAAGTTTACGTCGTTCATGTTGACAAGGAAACCCAAGGCCTGCTATACTTTAGATGGTCCTCTATGAGCAGGACAAGCTCGACAACATTGACCTCCTCTCCACAAGAAGGTGAAGCCATCTATCACTGCCGACGAACTCAAAGTGGCCCACAGTATTCTACTTGGAGGACAGGGGTCGTTTCCAGGGTCAGTTCACACGCGCACAGATTCCGGGAAGCTATCGCTCTGATTTCACGATAGCGCGCGTGGACGCGTTGTAAGGGCTTAAGGCACCAATTGCAGTAGCGCTCCAAAGCTATAGAGACGAACACAGTCGCAATGGCACTGGGCGCTAGGGATTTGGGAGGATGCGAGCAAGCGGCTGGTGCCGATCGATTCCCGTATGCGGCAGTGCTCGTGTGCCTACTATTACACCGCTGGTGCAATTGTAGCGCGTCAACGAGAATTACAGCGTGTCATCGCGCGTCATCGTGAAAACTGAACGCTGCCTGATTGTGAGATCTGTTTTCTTGACGCGAGCTATTAAACTTGTCAGGGGCAAGTGGATGTCATTTGGGTGACTTCTGAAGATGGACAGGGATCACTGTCCGAGGTGAGTGTCCACCTACTTATCACCTTGTAACTCCGTCCAAAATAAATTCTAGGGTTACACTGGCGCGCAAGAAGCCCTTTTTTTATCACCTCGTTTTATAAGTATGAGATGGAACACTGCAAGATCAATGAAAGTCAAAGAAGAAGGAACTCACGTTGATACAACGTCCAACACCGAGCAATCCATTTCCGACTTGACTATCTCCTTCAGGATGAACTCAGTATGGTTCAACTGCCCAATTCCACTCAAGACAGCTACAAATCGAGGGAAATTAAATCCCTAGGATAACACCTTCAAACGAAAGTAATCTCTACAAACGACCTACCAAAAACAGCTCCATTTCTCTCAACGTTTATCTTATTCTTTCCATGATAATCCACGTAAATGGAAACCGCTGGCGAGAAGATAAATTCTCTGCAATATAAAAAAAATTGGCGAAATGCGGATGACGGCACAAACTAGGCACCACTTTTCCGTTGGTCGTGACGACAAAACAAGGTACTGCTCTGATGGAACGGGCCGCTCGAACGCTTTGAGTCTTGTTGCGGCGAAGTCGGGGGCTGTCACGACTGTGTTTGGCACGGCGCCAACCCGTTCTTCGTCACTAATGAAAGCTGACAAGCGACTGCAGCTTGTGGAGAACGGGCTGGCCCCCGCGCCAAACCCCGCTGCCCCTCCCCCACTTCCCGGACACGCTTCATCTTCCATAAGGAGCGAAACTGTGTTACGCGCTGAAAAAGAAGCAAGCGGGTGAGGCGTTTACTTGATATCTTGCTTTGTTCCGGAGTCGCATTGATTGAAGGCGCCAGTTTTCCAGTGTGAATAGGGAAACTGGTAACCGCGCTCTCAGGGAAGGCAAGTTATGGAGGAGTAACGTACGATATGGAACGAGCAAGGCACGATAAGCCCTTTGTTTGAACTTCAAGTTTGTAGGCGCGTATTTCAGGGATTCAGGTCGTTTTCTCTAAGTGTGTACCACATGTCTCTGCACGTCATGTGAAGCGAAGTCAGTCGTAGTACAACAACAAAAATGAAGGGGTCGGAAAAATGGAGAAAATCCATACAAATGCCAAGATAATACAAAGGATATTACTTGAAAAAGGTGTTGCCGCGGGTGGATTCCATTGCATCACAGCTATAACGGCATTCGGCCGACGATGATGCCATTTGTGTGGATGTATCGTCATCTTCGGTTGACTGAATTTGCAATTCATTAAAAAAATACAATCATAGAAAACCATGACGAAGAACTCTCGTAACGGCAATTTAGTCTTCGCGACGACGCCCCATCGACCCGCTACAACTGCAACTACGCTCCAGTCCTATAGGCGCGAACGCAGCCGCGGACGGGAATTCCAATAGAGTAAAGGATAATATGGGGGCAGACGCTACTTTCGCACAATCAGGTACTCTCACATTCTTCTGTACACTATCAAAGCTCACCAGCCAGAGCCAATCGATACCAGACTGCGGGATCAAGCAACATGCACCTTCTTAATCCCCATACTCTCTCAATGCACGAGCGGCCAACGCCCAACGATTCCCGCCTGCAGCTGCGTTCGCGTCTATAGCACTGGGGCACCCTTGCAGCGCGTCGACGCGCATCATCACGAAGTCTGAACACTGCGTAATGTGTCCAATAACGGTCCATATTACGCAGTGTTCAGACTTGGGAGGCCACTCTCCAGCTACTCGGCTTACAGCTTCAAGAAGAACTCACAGAATAGATGCCATGAACATTCGTAAATCTCACCCCGTCACCACCGTTTAGACAGGCATCGATTTCGCCGCTGGTATCGATAAGATCATCACTGACAAGGAAATCATCACGAGCTTTGTCATCTCCCGTTGACATCATATCCGGATGGAACGAATCATGCATTGAAGCTCCCATTAGCATTTTATCCACTTCGCTTACCGGACCAATATGATCCATATCCGGGAATCTATAGATTAAACAGTTTACATGACGGCTAATGCATGAAGCTGAAAAATGTAAAAATTATTGTAATCACCTAATTTCGCTACTACTGCTCCAGTCTCCAGCAAGATGCAGATCGTCTGTCAGCACCTCATCTTCTGTTGAAGTAGCTCGCAGAAGATCCGGACTACTAGATTCGGTTGAAATCCGGACTGGCAGCCTACAACCACATGCTCAACTAAGAAAAAGAGAAAACAGAAGGAAAAAGAGCGGATTTCTTGTCTCACTTGTGATGAAGGTTCCCCATGAGGTGTTAGACGCTGTGATGCTCGACTTTTAGTACCAAACAGATTACCTGAAGAAACATGGCCATTCCTTCGAGCGACTAGCCACTCTTGAACGCAGAGGGCATGATTGCTGAAATGGGTGGCTGTTGCCACTATCAATGGTGGAAGGGTTGCGAAAGGGCGTTTTGCAACACACCCCACTGGGCTCCTCCTCCAATGACGTTGGTGACAAGCGGCTGCCCCCAGCAATCATGCCCAGTGCCATGGTGAGAAGGACAAGTATACCCAACCGTACTCACGAAACAGCTGATGCTGTCAATGGGGCATCAACCGTGTAGACCTTTTGACTGGTGAAGTAGACTTAGTTCGGTTTTCCAAGTACGACAGATCATCTGAATAAAAAAGAGATTAGGGCTAGCAGTACCTCTAGGTATGATATTTTCTTCTGAAAATTGTAATAAGATTTTATCCTGAACCCCCGATAATCATCTGCTTGGTTCAAGGCGCCTGGCCAGCACTTCAAAACAACAGCGAGAGAGAGATCTTGTGTTCAGGAGATCAAATTACCTTCGAAGGGGGGGGGGGATCCGAGCCCGAAAATGGTGAGTCATTGCAGCATGAATACCAGCGACAACGATGCAATTTTACAACAGAAATGGTGGAAAAGGCAGGAAAAGCTGCCCAAAATGCCTTGTATAGAACCCCATGCTGAATCGTGGCTTTTTGTGCATAAGATGAAGAGAGGGCGTGACCGGACGAGCTCTCTGTTGTTGTTTCCAACCGTTTCTCCTTTATGACCTCACTCTCTTCGATATGGAGACCCTCACAGCGGAACAACCGCACATCACGTAGCACTAAAAACGAAAATGGGTGTTGCCTTGGTCAGTGGGCGAGGCTAATCGCGAGCGACTCGCGCGCTTCCTTAACGTGTATTTGAGCTGCGAAAGTAGTGAGCCTCCATGTATGCGGACAGGACTACTGATCCCAAAGAAGGCGTCTGCACGTCTGATGAACGCGGGCGTGCCTTCAGGGCGGGAAAATTTTTTGTCTAGAATTGAAAGAGTAGGGAACAAAAGGGTGTTTAAGCAGCTTTGTTCCTCAGAGAACCAGAGGAAGGTTTTACTTGTATATAAACGAAACAGAAAGGCATACAGTATGCTTACATATCGGTGACGGTGGAGCAGCTTCTGGCATGAGCACATTCATATTCAAAGTATCTTGACCAAGCGCCGGATAGATAGGGCTATTTTTCACAGAACCCGTCTCACTGCTAGATCGTATCGTTGCTGGCACTTCCAAAACAGGTCGAGGAGCAACAGCAGCAGATACTTAACAATGAATACTGACGCTAATTTTGAAGTGACACCAAATCGAGCTGAGCCTACCTTCCGTGGGGATTTCAACACGTGTTCGTACTTCTTGGAAGAAATCGTCCAGAAACTCCATCGTATCCTGATCGATGTTGAACTTCACCGGCAGCATTGAGACCTGAAAGCGATTTTTATACGGGTGTCTTCCTCCAGCCCAGAGGATCACAGGCGACCACAACACTGCTAATGGGGCTACACATGTCACCAGCAAATGCTGTTCTTTTTCAACTCGCTCCATTCACCTTACGTTGCAAGTTCAGGGAAACAGGCGAATACAGTACTCTGACGTGCCTGTGGAACTGAGCAAGTAAGAGCAGTGTGTGCACATAATACCACTCAGCTTTCGTCTATGCAGCCCTTAGCCAAGCGGAAAGCAGCGTCAGCGCAGCTCTCACTTCCCAGCCTCAGCACGGGACTAATCAACTTTGGTAATTAAACCGATTTACGGTATGCCCGATTTACAGAGCAGAATTATCACGTTTCCAGGAATACTGTATCCCGTCTGTTTACGTCAACTCATAATCCTGTTTGATTAACAAGCTGTACACACGAGCACTGTCCCAGACAGACATCGGATAGGGCCTATGCACTACCGTGGTTATCAAGACGCAGCTTAGCAGGTTTTGCCTAACAGAAAGATGAAGGGCGAATACCCTCTGTTCCCTCATAACCTCTCAACCCTCTCAGAACAAGAGCAACCGGGCCGATCGATTCCTGTCTGTGGTTGCGTTTACGCCTACAGCATTAGAATGCTGCTGCAATTGTAGGACGTCAACGCGCACTTACAGCGCCTTGGAGAACGTCGAGCGATGTCTGAATGCTGCCTAAACAGAAAACATAGTAATCTGCATTTTCCCCTGCATTATGCATTCGATTATAAAGAGCTGCAATGACTGCGCACCACTTCTGGGACTAAACTCACTCTGAGCTTCCCTTCATTCTTATGAGATTCCACCATACGAACAGCTAACATCGGAGCGCACGTTCTTCGAGGTTGCTCGGCAGACGAATACTGAATGAAGCAGAACTACCACAAGTGCTTGACAAGTTGGGATACTCTCTCCTATCCTACCTGATACATCATCTCTTTGATCTGGCTAGCTGTTAACCTATCAAACAGCGTTATATCATGGATCGTGAAAAGCTTCATTGACATTAACGGAGCGTCCTTGTTGAACTGTTGGAATATACAGGTAATCTGAAGAAAATAATTCAATTGACAAAAACAATGCAGGACTATTTCGGAAACTAAATTTCAATCCAGAAAAACAGGCAGTGTACAGTATCAAAACTGCGCGTAAAACTTAGCGCGCAGGAGCAGCGACTGTACCCAACACCACCCAGTCCGGGCAGCCTAGACCACATGGAAAGCGGAACTAGCCCCGCTCTCACTTCCTGGCCTCGCCCGAATCCCCCACCGCCATTCTAGGGGGGGGGGATGCTGTATGACGTCTGTTTTTCTTAACTTTATCTGTATTTTGTAAGCATACCTTTTTCAACTCGAGAACCACACAAACCGAATGATCACGATATTTTCCACCCCGGGCATCGGGTGAAACGACTTGGTTCTTTCCTTTACCCTCACGATATTCAGGCGTACTGTAGCTACGCTCTTTTGGAGGTTCATCGCCTGAACGATCAAAATAAATGCAGAAAAAAAAACAGCAAAAAAGCGAGGTTCACTTACTCAGATCAGACCCACCAAACAGATGAATGCTTATAGAGATGTCGCGGAGTAAATATCTAAACGTTACCCATCAGGTCTTCAAGAGTAGTAGGTTTTTGAATATTCGACCACTGGATCACATAACTTCCACCTATCAAACCATAAAATCATACCGGGCAATCGGGGACGGGAAATCCGTTGGCAACGCAGCTAAACCATCACCACGCCAATCACTTGGGACACGAAAATGGTGCGGATCTATCGTGATACCAGCATTTGACGTGGTCCGATCGTTTCGAGAACCAATGTATTTAATATTCGGCTCACCAGTGGCATTCTATGATGAATAAACTTTCAAAAACTATACAAAAACAGGGAAATGCACGGTTTGCACAACGAGAACAGCTGCCGTAAAAACTTACAAGTTTCCGTCGCACTCCTTCCCCCCCCTTTTCCTCACTTCAAAGACACTGTGTTTTCCAAAACAACAGACACCTCCGCAAGTTTATCGTGGGCGGGGGGGGGGGGCGTACTGACACCAAAATTCAACCCATCGCGATGTTACACCCAGTTAGCAACACTCAGGCAGCGTACAGACTTCGCGACGGCAGCGCCTCGGTCACGCGTTCGGCGGACGGTCAGCCGCCTCGCGGTCAGCGCCGGCGCGATCGATGCGCTGCGCATACTTTGAACCGCATCGATTGCGTCGACGAGCGACCGAAGCGCTGCCGTCGCGAAGCCTGATGCCTCAGCGAAGAGGACGTATTGGAATCTCTATGGAAAAGGGTTGACTGTCATCATTTGGTAAGAAATAAGTAGGTTTTGCACATGAATGGAGATTGCTCTGAATTGTAAAGCAGTATTTACCCCTTCGGGCAGGAGGTGGTGTAGTGACAAGTGGCGCGCTCACCACTCGCGCGGTCCTGGGTTCGAATCCCAGGTCGACTCCCGCCCAGGCCAACCAAGCCTTCTACCCTCCGGGGACGGTAAATTGGTACCAGATTCGTCTGGGAGGATAAAACACTGACTTGTACATCGGCTGGCCACCGCAAGTCATTGTATAGGCATTCAATAAGCCACTACGATTCTGAATGGAAGTAGAATGCGTGCCGCATCCCACAAAGGGATTGATCAACGGCGAAGACTTTATCCTTCATCCTTTTATTTACCCCTCCCTCCAAGGAGACCAAAAAATGCGAGATAGAAAAGGGTTTCCGCTCTAGATTAAAATGAGAAAATCTTGACTGTCGAGGAGTAAATCTAGCTCGTTTTTTATGATCCAAATGATTTTCCGTAAAGTGAACTCACAGTGATCCCACTACCGATCACATCCTCATCAACCATACAAAATTCATCGTCCGTTGACAAAGAGTATGCCCGATTTCGTTCAGAATGCGTCGTATCCACTAACGCTTTCGCAAGCAAGTTCTAAAATTGATCCTAGTAATCTCGTAAATGACTATAAATTCGGCCGGGCTTTTCTGTAAACCCTGAGTAAACCTGGTTTCCAACTACACGTCTCCCGATCACGAGATCACACCTACCTGGTTGACCGAGAAATTCGGTGAGAACTCTTCAAGTGCCTCCCTACCACAAGGTATTCCAGCGGACGAGCCAGCAGAAGGTGAATCTTCCTGCATCGCGGAGGCAAGCATACGCTGAAGTACACAGAAGTTGTTACTTAATTTATCCAAAGAAAAATGTACGCCTTTACCTTCATTTTCATCTCAACTGGTTTCGGAAGATTACCAATTTCTTGACTGGTAGAAGTCGATGCATGGCTCTGAACAAAGGTTATTGGCTACTTAACGACTTCATCAAGAATTTGTAGTTAACATGTCCTCAACTGGTTACTCAATAGGTAAGCTACGTATTACTTAGAAGCAATTAATTTAGAACTAGAACTAATCTTTGTATTTCAGTATAGATGAAATGCTCAAAAGCATCGGCGAACTGAGGATGACGGTCTGCTAGCTGAAGACACAACTAGCAGATGCTTGGTGGTGTAGCCAGATCACGTCGTCATTCGTGCCCTTCTCCCACCCCCTCCCCCAACTTCCGCCTTCCTCACCGTCGCATAGTGCTTAAACCCAACAATTGGAGATCTTGATCGTAATTTATCTTGATTTAGGGGCGGGACGCATAAGCTGCACATTAGCGGTGATGTGATCGAGCCATACCACGGCCCGCGGTAAAAAAAATGCGGGGAGAGGAGGGATGCACAAGTGACGTGGTGATCTGACCCCGCCCATCAGGCATTTCCTGAAGTGTCTTCAGGGGCAGAATGAAGGGTAGCTTATTTAATCCCTCCTACAACGAGCCACTCGAGGAATTTACTACAGATTGAACCACTCTGAAAAAGATGCACTTCGAGTTCTTGGGTCTTTTTGATTCTTGGAGTTGTACGGGTCGCAATTACTGATTTCTCCACTCTTCAAACCAAGTAGTGTTTTTCGCTACTGCAAATCCCCCTTCAGCATCCGCAAGCTCAATTGGAACGCCTTTTTTGAGTATTCTTCACACTATGCGAGAATTACTTTTGATAAGAAACACTACACTGTTGACAAGGCATCAAACATACTTCAGAATTTGCGTTGTCCTCACAGCTATCCACAGACTGACGTACTGAAGCTTCCTTCGGCTCAGGTGGTGCAAATTTTTCTGATCGAGAAATTTCAGATGCCAAGTTCAACAATACGACAAGGGAATCAACGCAGACCCAAGCCTGCAAGCATTCATTTATTCACTTCAGATTCTCATTATCAAACACTTGTTATTGAAAATACCTTGATGATGTCATTTCGGCAGCGAATTTCAAGAACTGGTGCTGTGATGGTAGAATTCTCATTCACAGGAAAGAAGGAGGACAGGATCTGAAATAATAGTTCTTAAGTTGAAATTTCGCGAGCATTCTTCACGCTAATATTACTAAAGGTCGGGGGATAAACGGCCTACGGCTCTCCTTGTTGGTTGGATAGTGGTGATCGCGAATCGTTCCCAAGAACCAACTAAACACCAGGTGGGAGCTTCGATGAGCCTTGTTGCTCGATTCCTCGCTTACCAACTTTTTCTTTAGAAATTTCGCTCTAACACACGCTTTATGTCCGGAAAAGCCGTTGTGTGCGGCTTGAATACTAAAGAGAGGATGTAAAATAACACAAGAGTGGAGAAGAAGCACTAAAAACCAACCGAAAATGCGCCAAAAAACCTAAAAAAAGAAACCCAGGCTGAACCGCATATGTATATGCATAACGCGATGAAAAGGCATGGTCGGATTCACTTGTTGGTGTCGGCCCTCTCTCCTTATCATCTCACCATCACCGTTCGAAATAAAGCGAGCTAGCGCAGAACAATTGCACCATCAGGTAGTATTAAACATGAAAGCTGGGAGTCGCGGAGGCCAGTGGGCGGAGCCATGGTTCAGTGTCGAACGGGCGGCGTTTTCCTCACGTAGTTCTGAGCTGCAAGAGTAGCGCTATTCATGCCAGAAGGCGCCTGAACCTTATATGAACGAGGGGGATGGGTTCATCTTGCTATGAATCCCTCACAAGGTGAAAGTTATCGACAGAAACAGAATTATTTTCCATAACAAAATGCAGAATTCCTAGTAAGGGCTAAAAAAATTATCACATGGACTTCTTAGGGTCGTTGTTCATCAAAATTCGACAACTTAGAAATTAAAGCTATATAATGTTCACGAAATTACCTCCAACTGGAACAATCCAACATCGACTACTTTGAAAAATCTTCGTTTTGACAGGACTGCTATTCGCTGATCGTCCAGAGGACCGCTGTTCCACGAAACGAACATTATCCTTTGATTTCTTCGCACTTACTCATGTAGAGTCGGGCACCCTCGAATATGCTCACAACCTGCAACAAGAACGACTGTCAATTACAAAAGTAATTGTGAGGAAGAAGTACAAAAGAGTTCACCTTCACAGCGTTCATATCCTGGATAATGGAGCTACTTATATCACTTTCACGAAGGACTAACCTGTAAACATTGGCAAGTAAGATTCAGTAAGCATTCTAAGGTCTCTAAACATCTATACCTCAGTCGAATGTCGCTTTCAGGGTTAGTCCACACATGATCGTAAGCCAGGACGACATTATCCAAATGGATATGTAAATCAGTCTGAATTACACCAATAAAAAGTGCCCAAAAATGAGTAACATATCAAGCTACCCACCGTAACCACAGGTAACTCATATCCAGGTATAGGGTAGTCCTGTAAGGCAAACAATTCTGCCAACTGGAACATCCACGTTTCTTTGGAACTACGAAAAGGCCGCAGTTGAACACAAGTGTTCCGAACAGCAATAGCAAGAAGAACGTCCTTGAAGAAATGTCGTAATATTTACACGAACTAATGTTTATTCAAAAACAACTAGTAACCTTAATGTTCTGCCCAAGTCGTTCGCACAGATAGATTGCAACGCCGACAGCATCGTCAGTAGGTCTGCGAACTGAACTCATCTGTAGATGGGACAGAGTCCATCTGCGTATCATCGCGACTCCATTTTCCGAAATCAGCTTGATTGACCACTCTTGGCATCGAGCACGCATCTGCAAAGACGAGCAGGCAATGAAAAAGAAGGCAAAAAGGAGAACCTCATCTATAACTCAACTCACAACACTATGGTACCATGGGGTTGCAATCGTCTACGGACGTTACGGATGCGGACGTCATTATCAGATGATAAATTCGGCATACAACAAGAATTGCATTTTCATCTGATGGCGCGTCATCGCATGAGGCAGCATTCAGAATTCGCGATGACGCGCTGTAACGCGCTATAATGGCAACAGGGCTCCAAGGCTATATAATCGAGTGCAGCCGGGAGTCGAACGGCGCTGAACGTTACGGCTTTCGGAAAGTGTGGAGGAATAGGAGTTCCAAGTTGTTAAAGACAGCATCTGCCCTCCCGTCGACGCGCGTCACCGCGAAGTCCGAACGCCTGTCTGCGATGTCATAGGAGCTCAATAATGAGGATATCGCGTCTTTAACACGTTGACGACATGCGCGTTTTTACTTTTTGGCCGCGTGGGACACGCGCGTTTTCTCAAATGCAACCAG